GATGTGGCTGCTATAATAAACCCAATGATGACAATAGTGCTGCAATGTATGTGATACCTGCAACTATGTCTCCTGAGTTATAAAAGTAACTTAAAGTATAGATGTTAACACATGATTTTTCATTACAAAGAATTGTATGATAATAATCATGTGTGGAAGGATATGAGACTTTCAAACAACTATACTGATGTAAAGTGACAAAAGAATTTTCAGTCAATCCTCTTGTACTAAGATGATTGACATGAAAAGTCTCTCAATTGAGTTCAATCATTAACTGTGAACTAAGTATTGACTTAGCTTTGCAATCTCTGTCATAGAGTTATTCATACTAATTATGAATTATGATATGAATAAACTCGAATGCATACTCATCAAGTTGCTTAACATGCTTAAAACTATTAAGCCCAACATCAAAGTTAGTAGTGGGCAAGTCATTGATTCTTCTAAAGATATTAAGAGGAAGTCTAAAGGGGTTTTGTGAAAGCGTCCAATATGATTGAGACTGTCAAAGCGAAGGACAATACCAAGTCTAATGACCCTTTGTTTTATTATAGAATGAAATATCATTGGAAGGAATATTGCGTGACTTATGTCTACTTCACTAGTTTCTTAGGTATTTGATACCAGATGTAAATCTCATATTTATACAAATATGGAGAAACTAAAAAGGAAGTAGACCACTGCGAAAGGAAGAAGTTGACATACACGTTGGAGATGAGCAAAGGTTGATGCATTGCCTGTATAAATATACTTCTTGCCATTGCCTTTTGGTTTAGTATTGGAATTAAAGAAACGTCGCTTTATACCAACCATAGCTGGAACATTAAAATGAAATTCATGTTCCGACATGAACTATTTTAATGTTAAGGACAATAGTTGTTCTTGTTTATTTTGATAAAGATCCTAATGGCTATGGTAAATTACAAAACGAAGTTTGTATTCTTTAATGCTAAGGATTCTATGATGAGTATAGAAATTAAAAGGCATAAATGCGATAATCTAATCATTACCAAAATCTGGCATGACAGACTTTGTCATTTAGATGAAATGTAATTCCAAAGTTACATAAAGATGTATACTTGGGATTAATTGATTTTGACAAGTATAAATTATGCATGTCTGACACAATGACCAAATCTTCTTTTATTTGAAAAGAAAAAAGGTCAGCATAATTACTGGTCTGATGCATGGTGATGCATATGGACTCGTCTCAATTAATGTCAGGTAATGTTTCTCTTATTTCATCAATGATCATGTATACTTGATGAAAATTCAAACATGAAACTCTTGAAAAGTTCAAGAGATTCAAACTAGAAGTAGAGAAACAAATAGGTAAAGATACCCACACATTAAGATTCGATCAAATGAGAGTATTTTAAAGATAAAATCTAGATTATTTAAGAGTGAATGAGATTCTCTAGCGGTGGACTCCTTCATATACAATACATCAAAGTGGTGTATCTAAAAGGAGGAATCGTTAATTATTAGATATAATGCGATTAATAACAAACCATGCAAATCTCCCAAAATTGTTTTGGAGTCATGTATTGATTGCAGTGTGCAACACACTAAATCATGTCCCATCTAAATTGGTTAACAGAACTCCATACAAGTTATGGAAAGGAAATAGTCACAGTTTATCTTATATGAAAGCTTGGGGCCATGATACTTATTTGAAGCGCCTTGAATCAGATAAGTTTGACATTAAATCTGATAAAGACGTATTTGTGGGGATATTCAAAGGAGACATTTGAATATTAATTCTATTACTATGAAGAAAGTCTTCTTCTCACGACATATCGTCTTCTTAGAGAAAATGTTTACTCTAGGAGAGGACAGTGGAAGTAAAATAGAATTTGAAAGAGTTCAAGAGTCCACAAATATAGCTAACTAAGTAGATAAATTCGAGTTTGATCCCATATCTGATATGGGACATACTTTGGATCAGGAAGTAAAGACTACTGAGGACATGACAACTCTATGTGAATCTAGTAGAATCATTCAACCTTCAAGAAGGTGCGAATCCATGATCATTAATCAAGTATTAGTGATCCAGGATAATGAACCTGCTAGTTGCAACAAAATAAAGTCAAGTGTTGACTTAAAAGAGACAACAAGAGGCCATGATACTTTAGATGAACTCGGCGTATGTGAACAAGGTTTGGACCTTGGTTGAGCCTCCTGATGGAATAAAACCCATAAGGTTTTGTAAATAGTTTACAAGGAAAATGTCGATGTGGATGTGAATATCCATATATACAAAACAAGGCTAATAGCAAAGGTTAAGTGTTGATCTTGGTGAAACATTTCTCTTGTGGCCTTGCTGAAATCCATTCGGGTTTTATTTGCAACAGTTGCATATTGTAACTAAAGGTTAAGATAAGTCTCTATGGAGTTGAAATCTTCGATTTGATAGAAAAAGTCAAAGTGTTTGATTTTATCAAATTTGAAAACGAATTGTGTGTTTACAAGAAGATAGTGGGAGCATTGTCGTATTTCTAATATTATAGAAAACGATATCCCTATATTTCAATCGTTGAAATAATGGTTGTTAAATGATTTATTCATGAATGATATGAGATAAGCAACTTGACCTATAGAGGTAGATCTAGAAGATTGCTTAACTCATCACAATTTACATAGATGGAATCTTGAGAAGATTTTATATGGAGAAACTGGTTTACTCTTGAGCGGTATGTTGGAAAGGTTCCAAACGTGAAGCAACCGTTGATTCAATAGTAGAAATCTAATACATGATTATTTCAGAAGTAGCAAAGAGTTGCAATCTGAATCATGATGTTCATAAATGAACTTGGAGTAGTTCCTAATATTGTTGATCACATACCATTATATTGTGATAACAATAGAGTCATTGCAAAAGTAAAGGAACTAAGGTCTCATTAATGATCCAAATATGTATTAAGGCGGTATAATCTCATCAGAGAGATAATACATAGAATGATGTAAAGAGAAGAACAAATTTCCACATTTAACAATATTGCAGATCCATTGACAAAGAGTTGTCGTAGTATAAACATGATCGTCATGTAGACTTATGATATTGGATACATAAGTGATTGGATTTAGTGTAAGTGGGAGTTTGTAAGTTTTATGCCCTAGGTCCAATCAACTTTGGACATAAATACTTTTATATATAATTAATGCAATTAAATGACAGATCTATTATTTAATTAATAGACAATTAAATAAATAATAGAGTCCGTAAATTCACATCTTCGTAATTTGTTAATCACAAGGAGTTGTGATTGTGAGATACAAATTACATCTGATTGAATCTTAAATCGTCCGTGGTCGTAAATAATAACGAGATATGGATATCGTTATTACGGATAGACCATCACGTGTGAAATTTCTTACGTGTGAAGTAAGTAGCTGATCTTACAAGTTAAAGTGTGGTGACACTTAAATGAACACGTGGATATTTTGTTATAGAATAAAACATTGGAAACCCGTCGAGAGATTTCACATGGATAACTACCTGAGTGTCAGTGGTTAATCTCTAACGTTCGTTAGTGGAATTGGTCCTTTGACTTGAGGTCATCATAGTACCTTATATGAGGACAGTCATACTTTGGCGGTATTGGATGTTGCTCTGCAAATGGCCACTAATACGACATCGTTCGGGTACGTCAAGAATCGTATGAAGGTTGTGATTGATTAATAAAGGATTTGTCACTCTTAGATAGTAGGAGTTATGATCTGCGTTTCATTCAATTAAGTCGATGATGAAATCCTTGGCCAATGTGTACTTATAAGTCGAAAATGAGTTTTCGACTTATATTGACTTAATAGTGGAGTGAAAGATATGATCGATGATCGAGATTGACATACTTCCATATCTCGTAATTGATTGGATCATATTGACGAAATGATTATAGTTTCACGATAAACGAACGAGTTTGGTTTTGTCATACCACATGACATTTCCAGTCACATGTATTACCCTAACACATTGCTAGTTATTAATCTGGAACGGTGAGTGTGAATTAACGATAAATTAAAAGGGTGTTTTAATTTATCAATTTTAATTAGATCAAAATAATATTTCACGTCGTTAGGCATCGTGATCGGGAACCTGATGGGTCACACACAAAAGAGAATTGGAAGATTGCAAATTGCCAATTGGTTAATTTAACAATTGTTGGATAAATTAATTAATTGGATTTGTTATTTATATTCCCGAATTAATTAATTGAATTAATTAATTCACGGATCGGGTTTAATTAAATGGATTAGTTAAATATTGGACCGTACCAGGCCGAGCCCGTTTGAGTTTATATAAATACATGGCTAGGGTTTGAGGTCCATATGATTTTTATTATTCTTGCTGGCAGAAGAGGAAAAATCTTGGTAGCTGCAATCTTATTCTCTGTGTGAATCACCGTTGGAGGCTGGACAATTGGACAGCTATGGGTGGCGAATCAAGATTACTGGAACGAAAAGAAAAACAAAAGGTTTGCAGAATTCGTCAAAGGTACAATCTTTATCACGATTTCTATCTAAACACAAATAGATCCTCGGTGGGAATCAAAATAATTTTAATTTTCCGCTGTATATGTATAAGTAGATTCCCAACATAAGTAACATGATCCTTTCCAACATAGTAGATTGTTGGAGAATTTTTAAATAATTCGTGATTAGACATTGAGCTTTCAAGAGTCAAAGAAACGTTCGGGGAAGGTTTGATGTTGGGCAGGACGAGATCGTGCAAGACCATGTTAGACTCCAAGGCGGCTGCCCGATGCGTTCGAGTGACTGGCAAGCGACAAGCAGGGAATTCTGCATGCCAGTTGGGCGATACTCCCAGGCTATTGAATGAATCAACATCAAAAGACTAAAGTACCTGGTAATCGAACATGAACATAAGTTCAAAACAAAACTAATAATTTTCCCCAAGTTTTGGGACAATCCGAAATGTCATTAAACAATAAATGAAAGGGGATGGGAGAGACCATTTTCTCGACTGTCTGATATGATTTTATGAGCTCCAAAATGAAAGAAATTGAACACTAAAGTACAGATCACCCTGATAAATTTTAAATGAGAAAAAAAAAAATTGAAATTAACTATCAAGAGTTCTTATAAAAGTTTCAAGGTATTCCATTTTTATGGAAGCTGATCACCTTGTGATTTCTCTCTTACGTATTGCCCTCCCCACTTCCGCATACGCTCTGTTGTTTGCTCAACCTGCAATTCGTAATTTCTTCATAAAAATGAGAGATGATGTGTTAATCTGGTAAAATTAAGCCAAACTAAGAAATATGAATAACCTGCGACATAATCTGATGAGTGCAACACAGACATGAAATATTTTATAGAATTTAGGAGAAGAAAAAAAGGTGAAAACATGCCTACACGTGTGCGCAAGCATCCTCAACATGTGAAAGAAACATTAAGAATATGATTAGCATGACTAAATATTGTTTTCATATTCTCAGCAATGTGAAGAAACTGTTAACACGAACCTCCTTTATCCAGTTGGTTTTGTAAAGTACTAGGAGCAGCAGCAAGGTTTGAAGAGCTACTCCAGCTATCATGCCACCCCAGAGTCCCTACAAAGGAATTTCTTGGAAATATTGAGTAATACTAAACCAAGAAAAACAAATCATCTATAAATGTTGGGGATTAGATAAGATGCTTTAAACAGTTCTATTAAGAACAGATAAATTATACATTATAGGATTGCAGTCAATAAGCGTATAGTAGATATACCAAGTTATAGCAGAAAACCCGAGATATTATTATGGCAAAAGATGAATAAGATTTCAGAAGTCTGATTCATAATTCTCTCTCGACTCATTCTTTTTCTGATTATATTGATGCTCATTATCATAATGAAGAGGTTGAAGTAAAAGTTTATTTACCATCACTCCTATATGAGCCACATAGCCAAGAAAATATCCAAGAGGAAGACCAAAAACATAGTAACAAGCCAAGTTGATGTAGGCTACTAGAGCTTGCCACCCACCTCCAATGGCAACACCTGCAAAATGTCTAGGAAAAAAATTAAGACGGCAGAGCAAGGGAACATCGTCTGTATATACTGTTGAATGACATTCATTAATAATTGAATAATACCTGATATCACGGGTTGGACACTATTGAGAAGCATTGTAACTCCAAGGAGTACAGAAAGGTGAGCAACGGCACGTTGCATAGTTTCGCTATGTGTAAAAATAATTCCAAAATGATTTCTCGTTGCTAGGACAATAATCATGCACAAAATCCCAATCAAGAGTGATTGAAAGACTGTGACATAGACAGAATATTTTGTTGCTCTTGGATGTCCTAAGCCAAGCTCATTTGAGACACGAACACTGGCATAGAAAGAAATTAGGCAGTTGGATGTAAGTTTCCAGAAAAAATGTTTACAAAACACACTCACCTAGATTTCAATTGAAGTCATAATCAAGCTAAAATCAAAAGAGAAGTTTTGATAAGCATATTTTGGCTTTTCACCTTATAGCAGCATTGACTCCAATGAACAACATGCTTTCCCATCCATTAATGTTCATGCTGAAATGTTACACCAGACGAAAAGATTACCATCTGAAAAGAAAACGAGCATACAAAATTAAGGCAAGTAATAACTAAAATTGACAGTTCATGGAAGAGAGCTTGTGAAATTTCTTATCTTTACATTAAAATGTGGACTTGTTAAACTCACCAAATGGTAAGGGAACCAACAGCAGTTACGGCATTGTCAAAATTTCCAGCTAGCACAATGATACTCATCATGTACCATATCTCGAGGCATAGCATGACAGCAGATGCAAGGGAGAGTCTCACAAAGGACCATAAATCTTTAAACGCAGCCCAAGAAAATCCCTTCCAACCATCCTTGCACCAACCAACCACATAACCAAATTGTGCAAAGGCCGTGAACCAACTTGTAAGGTCGAATGCTATGGCTGCACCAACTGGTCCCCAGCCGAATACATAAATAAATAGCCAACATAGAAAAGTCTGTGCAACCAATGAAAAAGCTGCGATCCATGCAAGCACGAGGACTTTGCTCTGGGCTTGAAGAAACTTTTGAGTCGGAAAAGTGACTGCGAGGGAAAACAATTGAGGGGCAACCAGAAGTGTATATACTCCTGCTGGATTTGCTATGTCGTCTTCTTGTCCAAGCAGCTTCAAAATTGGGGTCGCAAACACATAGAGGGGCAACAGGAGAAGACAAGTGGAGAAGAGGATTATTATCGAACGTTGCATGTATATACCAAGCATATTAGTTTGTCCAGCACCAAATGCCTGACCACACAGCGTCTCAAGGGCATTCCCCATACCGAGCTAGAAATATTGTAAAATTCTTATTAGGCTTGGCTAATTTTTGCCTCAAATTTCAAGATCAGGCAAATGCTATATCCCACATTGATTAAAGATGAAAATTAAAATCAATTTATAAGAGTTTGGACTACTTTTTTTAATAAATTGATCTTTTAATATAGAACCCTATCAGAGCATAGATGATAGATCTTATGGTAAACAGGAACAAAAACAAGAACAGTAAACAGCCTCATATATTATGATAGAATAGAAGGAGAAGCTATAATCTTAATAAAATCTTAATCACTGTAATCTGTAAATAACCAAATATTAAATTTAAAACAAGATTCCACTTTTATGGAAAAAGTAATGAAGAATAAAGTCATTAAGTGATCCAACAATAAATAAAATAAAAACGATAAGAAGAAAAAGATTCATCCAGATGCGGTATGATTTGCTAACAGTTAAAGTAACTTCTTTTTTTTTGTCCATGCATATTTGATTTACTTGTTAACTTACTTATTTTTCTAACTTTTGACAGCAGCACCGTCACCAATCCCTTTGCAATAATCAAACCTCATTGATTTGTATCCTTTGTTATCATCGCAATATTGATAACTAAATGATACTAATAACAAAAATTCCATCAAGAAAAAAAGTTGCAGTCTCATTAAGTGTACGTCTTATCTACATGTTTATATATGGGTTGAGGGGCTAACCAGGAGACCAAACGCGAAGGTGCTGACAACGGACAGAGCAATAGAGAAGGCGGAGAGTTCGATATCTCCGATGTGGCCGACAAACATGGTGGTGACAGAGACATTTCCGAACTGACAAAGGATTTGAAAGGCTATTGGGCCGCCGATTTTCCATAGCTTTACAGTCTCTATGCAGAAAACTTTCCACCATGGTTTCAGCCCTCGTATCGGGAGATAATCTCCTTCGTCTCCGATAACTTGCAACTCATCTGAGTTCCGAACAAGAAGCGGTGCCCCATCCATCTCGGTCGGAGGGAAGTCGAGGATAGAATAACAGAGAATAAATTATGAATTCTTTGGTTCTGTGCTTGCACTGTTTGTAATGAGATTGGCTTGTTTAGGCAGTGGTATGGTGACATATACTTTCTATTTTAGACATTGGATAGAACCACAATAGTATCCATTTCATTTGTATTAACGTTAAGTTTTTGATAAATATATTAATAATTCTTTCAAAATAGAAGCCAATTTTGAACTTGGGGATTTATTGAAATTTGATAAATGTATAGATTCTAATATCTTCGAAGCTTATAGTAATAAATATTAATTTATTTATTTTTATTACAAAAGGCTAGAAGGCAAATTTTACAAGAGAAGTGGTCTTTTTATGATTCTAAGGGTACATTAGATTGTCAATATTTTCTATGAAAAACACCTAAATTCCTACTGATTAACGTATTTGTCATAGAAAACATTTTCCTACTTTTGGTCACGTGACCGTATTTTTCTCAAAATCAAGAAAAATATTTTCTTTAAGAGAAATGATATTTTATTTTTTAGGGAATTCACTTTCTCTTTCTCTCTATCATCCATCCATCAATAAAAAACGGACAAGTATAATATTTCTCAATTGAAAAATAAATAAATCAAATACATTTAATTGATAATTTACATCCAAATAAGTTCTACACAATTGAATTGCTTAGAATTTATTTTCTTTCCATGCTTGCAATCAAATGCACCCTAATTGTTGGGTTGTTAAAGGTCAAGATATTCATCGACAAATTTGGTGGAGATAAGGATGTTAATATGGATCTTATGTGCAATTAATTGGAATAATACTTTTCTTCGACATAAAGAGTCCTACTTTAACCCTTGTTTGAGTCTCATTCTTTTCAAAAAATACATTTTTAAACAGTATTTTGACACCATTTCAATCACATATTTTTCAATAAAATAATATTACACGTAAATTCAAAATTTTTCCTTATTTTTTAACCACACATTTTCCATCAATACACTAATTCAAAATTCATTTTTCCCCCCAAAATGGGGCTCAAACTGTTGGGAATCTACTTATACATGCACAGCGAAAAATTAAAATTATTTCGATTCCCACCGAAGATCCCTTTGTGTTTAGATAGAAATCGTGATAAATATAGTACCTTTAAAGAATTCTGCAAACCTTTTACTTTTCTTCTCGTTCCAGCAATCTTGATTCGCCACCACAGCTGTCCAATTGTCCAGCCTCCAACGGTGATCCACACAGAGAATAAGATTGCAGCTTCTAGGGTTTTCTCTTGTGCCAGCAAGAATAATGAAAACCATATGAATTGAAAACCCCAACATTTTATTTATATAAGCCCAAACGAGCCTGGCCCGGTCCGGTCCAATATTTAATTAAACAATTTAATTAAATCCGATCCATAAATTAATTAATCCAATTAATTAATTCGAGCTTATAAATAACCAACCCAATTAATTAATTTATCCAACGATTGTTAAATTAATTAATTGATAAATTGCAATCTTTCAATTTTTTTTTTGTGTGTGACCCATCAGGCTCCCGATCACGATGCCTAACGACGTGAAATATTATTTTGATCTAATTAAAATTTGATAAATTAAAACACCATTTTAATTTATCGTCAATTCATACTCGTTGTCTCTGATTGACATCTAACAATGTGTCAGGGCAATACATGTGACGGAAAATGTCATGTGGTCTGACAAAACCAAACTCGTTTGTTTACCGTGAAACTATAATCCCTTTCTCAATATGATCCGATCAACTACGGGATATGAAAGTGTGTCAATCTCGAATGTCGATCATATCTTTCACTCCACTATTAAGTCAATATAAGTCGAAAACTTCTTTTCGACTTATGAGTACACCTTAGCCAAATATTTCATCATTGACTTAATTGAATGAAACGCAGATCATAATCTCCTACTATCTAAGAGTGACGAATCCTTTATTGATCAATCACAACCTTCATACGATTCTTGACGTACCCGAACGATGTCGTATTAGTGGCTCTTTTCAGAGCAACATCCAATATCGCCAAAGTATGACCGTCCTCATATAAGGTACCATGACGACCTCAAGTCAAAGGACCAATTCCACTACCGAACATTAGAGATTAACCACTGACACTCAGTTAGTTATCCATGTGGAATCTCTCGGCGGGTCTCCAACAAAACATCCACGTGTTCATTTAAGTGTCACCACACTTTAGCCTGTGAGATCAGCTACTTACTTCACAAGTAAGAAATGCCACACGTGACGGTCTATTCATAATAACGATATCCGTATCTCGTTATTACTTACGACCATGGATGATTTAAGATTCAATCAGATGTAATTTGTATCTCACAATCACAACTTCTTGTGATTAACAAATTACGGAGGTTTGAATCTTCGAATTCTATTATTTATTTAATTGTCTATTAATTAAATAATAGATCTGCTATTAAATTACATTAATTATATATCAAAAGTATTTATATCCAAAGTTGATTGGACTTAGGGCATAATACTTACAAACTCCCACTTGCACTAGATCCAATCACTTATGTATCCAATATCATAAGTCTACATGACGATCATATTTATACTACGAAAACTCTTTGTCCATGGATCTGCAATATTGTTAAATGTGAAAATTTGTTCTTCTCTTTACGTCATTTCTATGTATTATCTCTTTGATGAGATTATACCGCCTTAATACATGTTTGGATCATTGATGAGACTTTAGTTCCTTTGCTTTCGCAATGGCTCTATTGTTATCACAATACTATGGTATGTGATCAACAATATCAGAAACTACTCCAAATTCATTTATGAACATCACGATCCATATTGCAACTCTTTGCTACTTCTGAAGTAACCATGTATTAGGTTTCTACTATTGAATCAACGGTTGCTTCACGTTTTGAACCTTTCCAACATACCGCTTAAGAGTAAACCAGTTTCTCTATATGAAATCTTCTCAAGATTTCATCCATGTAAATTGGGATGAGTTAAGCAATCTTCTAAATCTACTTCTATATATCAAGTTGCTTATCTCATATCGTTTATGAATAAATCCTTTAACAACCATTATTTCAACGATTGAAACATAGGGATGTCGTTTTCTATAATATTAGGAATACGACAATGCTCTCACTATCTTCTTGTAAATACACAATTCGACTTCAAATTTGATAAAATTAAACACTTTGACTTTTTTCATCAAATCGAAGATTTCAACTCCATAGAGACTTATCTTAACCTTTAGTTACAATATGCAACTGTTGTAAATAAAACTCGAATGGACTTCAGCAAGTCCACAGGAGAAAAGTTTCACCAAGGTCAACACTTAACCTTTGCTTCTAGCCTTGCTTTGTATATATGGATATCCACTTCCATATCGACATTTTCCTTGTAAACTATTTACAAAACTTTATGGGTTTTATTCCATCAGGAGGCTTAACCAAGGTCCAAACCTTGTTCACATACGTCGAGTTCATATCGAGTATCATGGCCTCATGCTGTCTCTTTTAAGTCAACACTTGACTTTATTTTGTTGCAACTAGCAGATTCATTATCCTGGATCACTAATACCTGATTAATAATCATGGATTCGCACCTTCTTGAAGGTCGAATAATCCTATTAGATTCATATAGAGCTGTCATGTCATTAGGAGTCTTTACTTCCTGATCCAAAGTATGTCCCATATCAGATATGAGATCAGACTCGGATTTATCTACTTGGTTAACTATATCTATGGACTCTTAAACTTTTCAAGTTCTATTTTGCTCCCACTGTCCTCCCCTAGAGTAAACATTTTCTCTAAGAAGACGATATGTCGTGAGATGAAGACTTTCTTCATTAGAATAGAATTTATATTCAAACGTCTGCTTTGAATATCCCCACAAATACGTATTTATCGAATTTAGTGTCAAACTTATCCGATTCAAAGCGCTTCAAATAAGCGTCATGACCCCAAACTTTCATATATGATAAATTGGGACTATTGTCTTTCCATAACTCGTAT